GGGGGTTAGCCAGTCTGATGATGGTTCTTAGGGCTACTCTAACTGTACCCCAAAGGAGCAGGCATCATTGTTGGCAGACCACGATTATTAGGCACTGACTGGGTCCAGGGCTCTGGGCCGGGCATGTTTATACACAAGTCATTACACGCCGTGAGTTCATGGGCAGTGTTCCTTCCACGAAGCAGGGTGGGGAGCTCACGACATGTTACCATATCAAACAACACTACGTCCCTCGTTTCAAGTGATCTAAAGCAGCAATCCAGAGAAGATGCTAAGGCTCTGAGATTGTGTGACCCACCCGAGACGGTGAACCCAGAGTCAGACCCCACCGGGGATGTGGGTCTCCTGACACCAGATCCTGGGATCTCTCATCAGGCTGGAAATGCTTCCTCGGGACGGCCGAGAAAGGGAAACCAGAACTGGGCAACTCTGACTTGAGTACAATGAAAGCCATCACAGAGGATTCCTCAAACAGCAAGTGAACACATCAAACTACCTCTTGGTTTCGGGGATCTCAGATGTTGGCCGTGAGTGACAAGGGAGCCTCCTGGTCTTCTGGATAACCAGGAAAGAGGTCGTAGCTGGCTACAAGTCACAGAAACTTGATTAAGGTGTGAAGCGATAAGGGAATGTGCCAGCCCATGAAACTGGAAATCCAGGGGGGGAGGATATCAGCGAGTCACAGAGACCCCAGCAGCCACTCACGCTCTGCCTGGGCACCAAAAGCATTGTCACCTTAGGGCTTACTCCCTTCGTGGTCTCAAGGTGGCTGCGGGCAACAATGGGGGGGGGGGGGGCTTTCCTGTCCCTTCACAAGAGAGAGACTGACTTCCTGAAGCTCTACTGTCCACTCAAGCCCATGCGCATTCTGGAACCATCACTGCAAGAGGGACGCACGACCCCAGGACTAATCCGGCCCAGCCTATGGCCACAGATCTCTGGCCGAGAACTGCGATGCTCTTGGTGAGGTGAGGGGTCGGCTACTGGGGAGATCAGCCTCAAGACCCTCCATGGGGGGCAAATTTGGCTCCCACAAATAGCACACCTCCCCAGTGTGGTCTGGGCCTGGGCAGAAGGCCAACAGGATCCCCACGCAACTAGTCCAAAACACGAGAACAATTCCATGCTGCAGAAACTGCCCAGCTGCTGGGTTCAGACAGGCTGATGACAGTCTCCTGAGCCTAACAACTCCCTGTCCCAGTCCCTGCTTCATTTCCTCAACCACCCAGTCTGTGAGGATACGCCCATGGCTCTGAAATCACATGCAACACGCGAGGACGGCAAGCATATGGGGTCAGGGAAACAGAGGCGTCTTTCTGTGGATCCAAGAGGCACGCAACGCATGTACGACAGAGGTTCATGGCTGATATGCTCAAGGGAGAAAAGCTGGGACTGCGGTCCTAGCAGGAAAGCATGCCCTCAAGAGCCTTCCCCTTCAGGTGCCTGGGAATGACCACTGCCACCTCCCCTGGGGTGTGAGCCCCCAAAACCCTGCGTCTGGCCCCTCACTGCCTGCCCAGGGCCACACCCAGAAGACAGACCCCTAAACACTGATGACTGGAGGGGAGGAAGGGGTTTGTAAATCAGACTAGCCTCGAGACGCCTGCTTCATTCACCCCAAAGCTGAGCTCCATGGCTACAGCAAGGGAACACAGCCAGGAAGCATTCCTTCCTGGGCCATATCTGGCTCTTGAGAAGTCTAAACCCACAGAGACTTGCTGGCACTCTCTTACCCCTGGCAATCCCTCTCCCAAGGGTCCAGGTCCTTCTACTGTCTTGAGAGATTCAACTGTACTGCTCTCCCCAGCACCCTCCCCCCAAACTTTCAAAGTTCTATGTCCCAGGGTGGCCTGCACCCATGCTTAGTGGTGACAACAACACTCTATCAGCTGAGCTGAGCCAAGAGTTAAAGGGGGTAGAGGGGGGTGGAGGAATCTGCTCTAATTCATACCAAGGTGTGAATGACTAACAAAATCTAAACTCTTCCCAAAGTGTTTGAGATTTTACAAGTGGAGATTCAGGCACTCAAGCAGGACTCCCACTGGCAAAGATGACATTTAACTCGAAACCTAAAGGATAAGGAGTCAGCGGTAAGAAGAGCAGGAGGGGGATAGTCTAGATAGAGAACACAGCCAGTGCAAATGCTGTGAGGCAAGGGAAAAAAAAAATGACCTGCTTAAGGAACAGGAAGTAGACCAGAGCCACTGGGGTGTGGTGAGTGAGTGTTTGTGGGCCAAATGACCAGGTGGAACAGGAATTTGTACACCTGGGTCTTTCGCAAAATCTCAGCATCCATTATCTGCTCATCAAGCTCTTCCAGGAACTGTATAAATTACACCCGTGCCCCTGATTAAATACCTCCAGCTGACCAAGCACTGTGCTGGGTATTTTCTGTATTAGCATAATCACCGATCATCCCAACAGTAATAACGTGAGATAAGTTATGATTATTTCTCCCTTTACAAAGGGAAAAAGTGAGGCTCAGAAAGGTTTAATAACTTGTCTAAGATTACACAGCATGAGAAGAGTCAGAAGCAGGCTTTGAACCTAAGTCTAAGTGACATCCAAATCCGTAACCCACCCAGTGATGGAGCATAAAATGCCAGGTGCAGTGCTGGGCAAGTCCATCTTCATGCAGGGCAGCCAGAAACCACATCTAATTCTAATTATGACAATCACAGCTCTTGCTCCCTCTCCTAGACCCTACTCTCCCCGAGGACAGGAATTTCTGATCTCACTCTTCTCTGCACGGCAGCCCCCAAGCCCTACGCCCTACACATACAGGCACTCAGTTTGGGACGTGGACAAGGTCAAGCCTCGGTTTCTTCTATAAAATTGGGAAGCGATGTACACGAGATCTTGCGTGAGGCCCCGGCACACAGTAGGTGTTCAACAAACTTCAGCTGCTAGTTAACAATTTACAGCTCCAAGGCTGCTCCCTCATCCACCGTCCCACTGGCCCTTCCCAGAAACCCTAAGACCTTGTAGGCAGGATGGTATTCTCACTCCCATTCTACAGATGAGGAAACCGAGACTTAGTGAGAAGGGCTTTCCCTCAATAGCACAGAGCTCCCTTCTAGAATACAGGCTGCCCAAGGACAGCATCTTTGTCTAGTCCCCAGGGCCAAAACAGTGACTGGCACATAGCAGGGAAATATTTGCTGAATGAATGAATGAATAGGAATTAAAAACATCACTTCTTTCTCAAAGGATGCACTTCCCCCTTACTCTGCTCTGGTAAGAGCCAATAAATTTCTGGAAGCAAGCTAGAAGGGCGGTGGGGTGGGATGAAGAAGGAATTAATGTTTGCAAATGTCCGCTATGGGTCCGGCATAGGGGGTTTTACTTTTAATCAGAGTCCTGCATCCCATCCCACCATACTCAAGGTTGACATGAGAAAACAGAGGCTTTCTGCAGAAAGCCAGACCGGAATGACCTGCCAAGATCCCCTCTCAGCCAGAGCCAGACCACAAGGGCACCTGCCAACAACCCAGAGGCCTCTCACCCTCTACGCTCGGCAGCCTGCGCGCAGAAAAAACACCCCGACGCACGCTGACTCTACCTCGCCCTCACCAAGGCAGCCCACAAAGGGCCGCTTTCAGCTCCCTGGGCCCCAGAAAGCCCGAGCTTGGGGGCTGAGCCCTCACCCAGCCAGGCAGCCCTACCCCCTTCCCTTTCCCTTCCCCCATCAGCAAAGCGTGACTCAGCGGTTCTCCTCCCGGGAGCGGGGAGCGCCACCCCTCAGCGTCCCTCCGCCCAGGATACACATCAAGCCTCAGCTCTCCGGGACAGGACGCAGGGGTCCCGCCCCGCGCTGGCCCCGCGCTCCCGGGCCTCCGCGGGACTCCGGCTTGGGCTCGGCCTCATTTCCGGCAGAGCCAGGCACTAGACCGCGGACACTACCCGGGAGTCGATTCCCCGCCACCAAGCCAACACAAGGTTTCCTGACACAGGCACCCACGCGCGCCAGCCCCGCGGAACGCCATGCGCAGGGTCCCTCCCACTGGGGGCACCCACCGGGGGACCTCTTGCTACCAACCCACCAACACTTATGCGGCCAGTTCATCGGCCCCTAAGGAAGGTGCAGCCAGTCCCTAAACCCGGGAAGGTCTCCAGCGCAGGTGTCCCCTCTGCCGCATGCTGACACCCCGCGGCTAGTGATCACCCCATCTTCAATCAGGGATTCGCTCCGCAGGCCCCTGGCTGCGGTTTGGGAGCTGTCCCCCACCATTCTCTGGGCAAGCTGAAGGAGAGAGACCCTTGGAAGTCACAGGTCCATCAGCGCTGACCAGTGGGATTCTACCACCTCCGGGTGGGGGTTGGGCTTGGGCCTGTTGGACCAGTTTGGGGGATTTCAAATGCAGGGCCCCTTTGGGAAGGCATGTCCCACTTTTAGGGGAAAATTCTGACAGTTTGGGGCCAGCTCTTTCTGTCTCAGTATAACTCACCGGGAATAAAAGACCAACCCCAAACCGGCCGCCGTCTCCCACCCACGAGGGGCCCCTGCCTTTGGAGGTACAGGGAGTGCCCCGGGACAGCGAGCCTCTTCGGGGGGGGGGGGGGGTTCTAGCATTGGATTTTTTTCCCCCTGGATCCCTCTTCGTCCCTGGGGAGTGGGCAGCCTAGAAAATTCTGTGGGCTTTGGGCAGGGCTGAAATGGCAAACCCAGGATTCTAAGCCACTACATCTCCCTGGATTTCTTCACCAGATTAACCGCAGGAATGGCCTTTTTACAAATGATGGCCAGGGCCGATTCAGGATGCCACACAGGCCTGGGGGCCTAAAGCTGCCTGCCGGAGGGCGGCGCGGAGGAGGGCGCTGGGCAGCGGAGGCCGGCGCCCTCGGGCTCCCTCCCTCCGGGACCCGGGGCAGGGTGGGGTAGGGTGGGGTGGGGGGACACGACACACAGCGCGCGGTCCAAACCTTCGGAGGGCATTCGGTGCGACGGCATCCCCACGCCGCGGCCGGCCGGAGGGGGCCTCAGACAACACGTACGTTACCTTCAGTCACATAGCTGTGGTCCCGCAGGAAGCTGTGGTTAATTTTCCGCGTGTCCGTGTCCTCGCCCATTGAAGGCCGTGCCCGGTGCCCTGGGCATGCCCCGCCGCCGCACACCGATGCAATCCGCAGAGGTCGCGCCGGGCGCGCGGGCCATGCCGCCGCAGCCTAGCAGGGGCGGGCCGCCGGGGCCCCGGGGGGCGGGCATCGCGGCCGGGGGCGGCCTGGGACGGGCGGGGCGGCCGGGGCGGGAGCCGCGGTCAAGCGAGCGCGCGGCTGGCAGGCGGCGGCCGCGGGTGGGGGCGGGCCAGGGCCCGGGCGCGCATCCCGGCCGGTGCGCGCTGCGTCGTGCGCCCGGCGGCGGCGGCGGCGGCGGCGGTGGTGGTGGCGGCCTGGTGCCCGGGCGCCTGGCTGCGCGGCGGCGGGAGGGTACGCCGCGCGGCGCTGCGCCGACCGAGCCGGGGCCGAGCCGGGCTGCGCGGGCTGGGGCCGCCGCCGCCGCCGCCGCTCCGCAGGCCCCTCCCTCGCGCCACCCGCTCCTCCGCCCCCGCGGCCCGCGCAGCCAGCCGCGCGCCGGCCGCCCAGAGCTGTGCAGGTGGAGCCGCGCCCGGGTAGGGGCGGCACCGCCGTGCTCCGGCCCCCGCGGGTGGGCACCTTTGGTGCCTGAGTGTGCGGGCGGGAGAGGGAGGAAGGAGATGGTCACCTGGATGCAGAGGCGGGGGGAGCGCTGGTCCGCTGAGCTTTTGGGGGGGCACCTTGGCCGCCCAGGTGCTGGAATTATGGAAGAGATGCCCAATAACGGAGGGAGTAGAAGAGGTAGGGCTGGCGGGCAGCCACCGGAAGGACAGGGACGGGATGAGGGTCGGCTGAAGGTGGCACCTTGGAGCCTGGAAGACTTCAGAAGTGGGGAAGGAAGGTGCACAAGGGTCCCCTTCGTTGGTAGAGGAAGGTGGGTCAGACAAGTTTAGAGGACCCTCTGGAGCGCAAAACTGGACGGGTGGGAAGAAGCTGGAGGGATGGGGCGGGGGGGGGCGGGGTCAGACAGGGCGGGAGAATCCGCAACCTGCGAGGTAAAAACTCTGGATCGGCTGCCTGGAGTAATTGGCCTCCTCCAGGCAGAGCTCCATGATCTATCCTCCTGCTAGTCTCTCTACCGGTAAAAATAAAGTGTAGAAACCGCGCTGGGTGCCCTCCAAAAACAGGCTGGAAAACGGGTCCCTCTGCCAGTCTCCCTTTCCACCAAACCCGACCTTTCCTGCCTCCCTTCCCTTTTCACCAGTGTGGCCCTGCTTCGAACACAGTGCCTAGCACAGAGCAGTCCCCTCAAAAATATGTCCCCTCTTTTGTCCAAGCTAACACTTTGCCTGAGGGATGGAGTTCCCTGTGGGGAGCACAGGTTGCACTAGGGGCTTCAAGAGGTGAGGGGGGAGGATGGAAACCCCTCCCCCCCAGTACCTTCCTAGCTGCCCAGCAAAATCTCTTTGGAAAGGGCGGGGGGAGGGGAGGCTGCCTGGGAGGAGCAACAAATGCTGAAGGGCCTTCTGCCCCAGGTGGGAGAGGGAGCTGAGATCCCCAGTCCCAGAATCCTGTGAGGCTTTGCTTCTTTCAGCTGGTTTCCTGGGGACTCCAAACTGCAGGGGGCCAGGGGAGTCCAGAAGAGGCAGGGACAGGAGGCCAGGGTCAGGAAGACTGGGGCAGGTGGATGCTGCCTGGGGTTTCTTTTTTCTTTCTTTTTTTTTAAAGATTTTATTTATTTATTTGACAGAGAGAGATCACAAGTAGGTAGAGAGGCAGGCAGAGAGAGACAGAGAAGCAGGTTCCCTGCTAAGCAGAGAGCCCGATACGGGGCTCAATCCCAGGACCCTGAGACTATGACCTGAGCCGAAGTGGGCTTAACCCACTGAACCACCCAGGGATGCCTTGCCTGGGGTTTCTTGCTGGGAGAGGGAGTTTGGGAGCTAGAGCTGGGCTTTTACGGGGCAGAAATGCCCAGAACGGACCCCCCCCCCACACACCCCTGCTGTGTGTAATGGAAAAGACTGGACCCCTGAGAGTCCTGGGGGTCCGCCTACTTCTTGAATGGCCCCCCCACCTGTCCCACCCTCAGCTTGTTCACAACATCCACCTCAGAGCACAGCTGTGGCAGGTTCAGTCCTGGACCAGGTAAACACAGGTCGGATGTGCTTGGGGTGCACTTTCGTGAAGGAGGCTGACGTTCATGTCCTCTCCCACCCACCCTCTTGAAGCCCGGCCCATTCTGCCCTCTCCCCCATGCCTGGGCTACCCGAACCTCACATCCAGAGCCCAGCACCCTGCTTCCTGTCCATACCCTGCTCGCCTCCCTATCTCTATATAAAAATATGGCTGCAGCCTCAGCCTCCAGAAGCCACGGGCTGGGTTCAAGTCCTGACAGGGAGGGGGGTGGCTAGCACAACCTTGCCCGTGAAATGGCGTGATCCTGGGGTGGTGTGGCCAGTTCCTGCCCAGTAGGGGCCTGGCCTTGTCCAAGCTCTGGCATGGTAGCTGATACCATCACCGTGCTGAGACTCGTCTCTTCTCTGATCTTAGGGAGACCCCCTGTCCATCATCCCCACCTGTCATTCGGTGGAAGCACACACCCCATTTTCCAGGAGGCCCTGGATCCCCATGGAAATGGCCCTGTCCTGGGCTAACATATCAACACACCCCTTTGTCAGCTTCTGGGTCAAGCAGAGGACCCCTGGAGTTGGCAATCTCCAGCCTTGGTGGGCCCCAGGGCACATCAGTCCCTCTGCACTCTCCATCTGCTCAGTCTTCTCTCACTTCCTCCGGGCTCCTCCAGACTGTCTCTTCTCTTCCCCTGAAGCACCCGTCCCCATCAGAACCAGCGCCTTGCCCATCAGCCCACACTCACCCTGGTACAAACCATTGCTTCCTCTTTATGTCTCCAAACATCCCTGGTCCCTCAATGCAGGGCTGCCCTACCCCTCGGTCCTCCTATCCCCAGCCTCTCTCTGTGTCTGCCTCCCCATTCATTTGTCCATGACAGATATTTCTGGAATATCTACTGTTCCTACAGTAGGAACATTCCTACAGTAGGAATATACAGTAGTATATTCCTAAATATACTACATTCCCAGCACAGGGGTAACATGGGGAACAGAACAGATCAATCTCCCCATTCCCATGGGGTTGAGCCACGAGCAGGGCAAGATCAACAAGGTGGAGTAAGCATATAAGTCAGGTTGGGATGGAGATGGGTGGTGATAGGGGTCTCTTGTACAAAGTGGGAGTGGAGAGGACCCCTGTGATAAGGTGAAATTTATCAGCAGTCCCCCTGGGCGCTCCCCACGGCAAAGCCTGCGTGGGTCTTCCACATTAAGAAACAGTCCTGACTCTGAGTTCCCTTCTTGCTGCCAGCATGGTGTCCTCCCCGTTTCATGACCTAAGGAACACATCTACATTCCCCATCTCCTCTTCCGCATCCCCCCACACTCACTGCTGGAGCCCTCCACCAACCTGGCCTCTTCTCACTGTCCCACCCTGCCTCCCCAAAGGGAAACTGGTCTCAGCAAGGTTGATAACGACTTTCCTCTTCCTGGAACCGGTGGATGAGTCCCTGGACTCCTCTCTTAGCTGACCTTTCAGCAGCCTTCACCCTGTGGGGCCGCCCCGTCACTCCTTCCATTTGCTTTGGGGACCCCCCTTCTTCGCCATTCAGCTGCTTGCCAAGTTATGCTCCTTCTGGTGGTCCCTGAAAGGTTGTATCTCAGTCCGCTTGTCTTGACTGATGTTCAGATTGTGTATAGAAAAGCCTACAAAAGCTAGATGTGCCGCTCCCTGAACTGTCACAGAGCAAACACTTGATTAACCACCACCCCCCTCAGGAAAAGAAGACCCCGCCATCCTCTGAAGGGCTCCTCATGACCCACTCTGTCCACCCCACAGAAAGTCCTATCTGGACTTCTAACACTGCGACTTTGTTGTCTGGGGGGTTTTGTGCAAAGAAAATCACAGAGCATGAGTGTTTGGGGATCTGGTTTTGTTCCACATTCCGTATCCAAGGCTCACGCATCATGACATATTTGGCATTTTAATATTATTCATTTTTCATTGTTGCCTAATATTCCATCATGGAAATGCAACACTGTGTCTCCTCCTGCGGATGGGCACTTGGTTGCTTTCGGGTTGGAGGTTATTATGAACAGAACAATGTCTTAGCATGCACATGTCCTCCCCTCCGTTGGGCACGTGTACTCAGCATGGGATTGCAGGTGATGGGTTCTATGCAGGCTGGGCTTTAGTAGCCGATGTCAAAGAGCCCATAGGCGCAAGAGAGTTCTTGTTGCTCTCAAACCTCCTGAAATGAAGTATTGTCATCACCTGTGACTTTTAGCGGTTCACCACCTCCAATGCGGCCCTCACTTCCTCTCCAACAGCCTAGGCTGGCCCTTGTCCCCATCCCCACTCAGGATGGACTGGTATCCTCCTACATCTGTCACCTCTCAAGCCATCATGTCCTGTCGATCTTCCAGCCCTGCTGACTCGCCCTCAGAGCTCACAAATCCCGCTCCTCTCACCAGCCTCACCACCCCGCCAGAACTCAAGGATTCACCCCTCCCTCATGTGGACTGAAAGCTGACCCTGTTCACTTCCCTGCTTACCATGTTTTGAGGCTCCCAGCTGCCACATGCTAATGTCTACATCCAGAGGTCTTCACGGAACAGCTCCAGACTGCATCTCTGGCCAGTTCGCTGTGTGCACCGTGCTCTTTCCTGAACTCCTGCAATGTCCCCAGCAAGACAGGTGCCCTCCAGACTCCGCATTTGTGCACGCTGGTCCCTTGTCTAGAATGTGGTCCCACATGCCACTTTTCCCCATTTGGAGTCAGCCTAAAGGTCATGACGAACAGTAACTCCAGCACCAGCCACCGTTCCCCAATGGCCCTAGGGAGGTCTCTGTGCTGACTTCACATACCCAACTTCTGCCTCCTGTGCATGGGCTGGATTTGCATTCCTATCACTTTTTAAATGGCCATAGTCATGAGAGTAGCTTTGGACAGTGGAATGGGGAAGTGGCCTGCATCTTTCATG